TGAGTATACCTGAGTGGAAAAAAATGGGTGCACGTGAAAACACACCGAAAGCAAATGAAGAAACACAAAGGACTAGGAATACTGAGTTGATTGATAGCATTGCCCTTGCCGTTCTCTATCATGCTGACAATGTGAAGACGAATGTGCACTGTTAAGTAGATGTATACGAGTAGCATTATATGACATACGAGGGAGAAAAAATATAAGCACAACCAAAATGTTTATCAAAGCTAAAGTAATTTCACACTTGCATTTACTTAATGTCGTAACTTTCACGTTATCGGTGCTCGAAATCACCTAGCACAGTTGATGGCGCATTCAACATCTGCTGACGACACTTTAGGAATGACAACCGAAAAGGACTTCAAGTTAACTGTAGTGTAATACGACAAAAGGGCGCCGTAGCACTTGCAGCCGCGTTGGGATTCGCTCTGATATTTATTGAACAATGAAACCGACAGCCGGCGTTTGCAGAGGAATTAATTCAGCCTTTCCAATTTAGAAAACAAAAGCAATATTACACAATGCTGCCATATGTGCTGGAGCATTTCACCGAGAGCAAAAAACGAAAGTTAAAATACTGTGTCCTGCTAGTGCCTAATTTCGATGTTAGAACCACAATAAAAAGAGCTGCCAAGTACATGTCATCTTTTCAATATTAACACTAAAAATTTAAAGGCAGAAATATGCAAACCCCCAACGGACAACTATCAGTGGAGCGCAACATTTCCTAATGAATGTAACAGAGATAAACAGTAAAATTTCCCTCAACAATTCATGTGAAAACAGCAAGCATTTCCCCGAGCATCTATATGGCATAAAGCATTGCAAATGGTACTACATGAAGAAAACAAGCGCGCCTTGACTGTCTAGTTAAGTTTGTTGCCAGATGTTATCCATAAAATTGAATAATATATGCCCGCACTGGAAGAGTTACAAACATTGTGTGGAGCGCCTTCCTTAGAGAGCTCAAAGACAAAGAATGATGATAGGCATGGGATTCAAAAGCTACTAATTTAGTTCGAATGGATTTTAAGAAGAGCGCTAGATTTTTACAAAATCCAGGCTGCAAATAGGGCAAATGGACGATACTCACCGTCGGTAAGTTACGATAGCTGAGCGAAAATGGACTCGGGGGATGTGCCAAGTGACGAAGAAGTGGAGGGTGCTTGAGCCCGCTTCCGCAATCTCCGATGGCCGATGAGAGACAGTAGCGAGAGTGGTGCAAGATGGCGACACAACACATGTAGCACACACGGCCATCACTAAACTGGAGCGCTTCTTAGTCCCTTCGCTTATATAACCTGTGACAGGAAGAGAATCACGAAAAATCTTGAGCCTTTAAACGTCCAAACTTTGATCCATGCTTAAATTTTACATCTAAGACTTCCCCTTGAAAACCAAATAAAGTGCTAGAGCTTTGTCACGACTGAAAGAGCGGCTGCATCTCTTAAAAGTACAACCGAAACCATCTAACGGATTTTAAATTCGCCTAACTATTAACACAAATAGTTTTTTCATAGAAAAAGTCGAGGCTCAAACATCAAATGAGGACTTCGGTTGTTTCGGGGTTGCGTGAAAATAGAACTTATCAATCGTTATGCAAATGGTTAGTCCATAGGGAAACTTATTTAATGCATCGAGAGGATGGACGAGGTTTGCATCTAATTTGCTCTACAAAGTCCCTTCCTTGAAAGTACCGAGTGTTAGAAAAATTATTCGCTACAGTCAGTTCCATGAGTTGGGCATGGCCATTAAAGCCATTCCCTAGACATACGATTTAACTAGAAGCGTCAGACTACTGTTGTAAAATAACTGACTTATGAGCGAGTTTCTTGAAACAAACAACTAGTTTGAGGCAAGATAGCAAGTTCAATTAAAAGTGGAACAATGCAAAATCTTTAATAGAAGATAATAATGGCGGATGCTCGTGCGATTTCAGACGATTTCACCGTACCATATTACCACAAAGGCTTGAAAGCAAGCAATCATCATCAAATTCAGAAGCAAAACTGACTAGGCACAACAGTTGATTATGTCATCAAATATGCCTACAACCGTTTGGAGGAGTCAAGTCCCCTTGTTCGGAGGTCAGGAACACCATAGACAAAGGCAGTCAGTCATACATACTTGGCAAAACAAAGGCAGACATCTGCAACCAAACTTAGATACAAAGAAAGTGAAATTTAAACATGGACTAGAAACGGTGCCGGTAAGGTTTTAAGCACATGGGAAATTTAACAGCATCAGATGCTCTTAAAGCTTTTAAAATTGCAGTGAAACTCATTATAGATAAAGAAAAACAAGTACTGTTTGGAACGGGTTTTCAGATTTAAACTTCTTTTGAGAACCTTTTTAGATAAAAGGGAATGCATTAAGGTAGCAAGCTGCTATTATCACATCTACCTAAGACATGGTCTGCTTAAAGAACAATGCAGACTGTTAGTAGCGGTTTAGATGTTAAAATACAAATGATGGTGCAATAATGACAATTCTGATTTTAAGTTTTGTAATACCCTGATGAATAATAAAAGAGTAAGATTAATGGGTCTTCCCACCCCCTGCAAAGGAGAGGAATTACGCATATGAAGAAGTAGATCAGAAGCCCGAAGTGAGAAGCCGATATGGTGGGACCTCACGCCTGCACTTCACTGCTAAGTCCGCCCACACGCACGTTATAAATCGTGAGTGATCACATGAGTGCAGTATAATTTTGAATAGTTGAACTTTTCAAGACTTATAATGCCCAATCGAGTGAGAAAACCCGATCGCCCTCAAGATAAAGATAAAAATTAGTGGAATAAATGTCGATAGCAAAATAGCACATGCAGTGGGAGCCTGACATCGTGGAAGATCGCGGGTTTTATCCGAACTTAGGGACATTATGCTCACTATCACTGCACGGCTAGAAAACACGTCATGTAGCACATTCGCTTTTAAAAAATGGTAAAAGACTTCCATTTCCGGTTGACATACCGTTGAGTGCACCAAGAAAGAATTAAACATCCTCACGCATGCACAAGAGATGTAAAAAAAGGCCCTATAGCTCCACATCGTAATACTTTAGGAAGTTTATTAACTCATACACTAATTGACGAGCCATGGGAATGAACTATAGAAATCGAGAGTCCACCTGTGTCGCATGGGCCACAACTGACAATAATGCGTTGCGATGGTGACCATACAACTTCAACGCTTCATCAGTTATATCTGTCAAAGATGGAATTGCGTGACTCATGAATACCGAGCTGAGTGGTGTCAAGCCTACCGGTCTTCAGTAATAATGAGCAGCATTTAAGAGGGGAATTGATCCTCGAAAAGCCGCCCCCTTAGGTGAAGAAGAAACGAATGAGAACGCTAAGCCCAACTAGGACGCCAGTAAGAAAAAGGGGTCTCATCAGCACAAAAAGCCTTACCAGTATTGTCGTTGCTCAGCAAACCTGTGGCTTTGAGGTCCTTCCAGAAACGCGCAGCCAGAGGAGCCTGAGTGTGAGCTCTTGGAAAAGTCGGAGAAGGCACCTCCTGTGACTCGGAGGAAGAAGCCGAGGATGAAGAGAACAGATTCGCATCTGCTGAATTGGAACGAAACAAAAGTCCCCGCGAAGGAACTTTGCACAGAGCCTTGCACTGGAATCCAGGACAGCAAGTAACCTTCACCTAGGCGAAAGTCGTGAAATATCAGCTTGCACTTTCGAGACTGTAATGTCGCAACAAATCCGGAAAAATGAAACTATTTAAAAAGCACTGGTGTTTAACACAGCTAACACGTCAGTAAACCAATGCAGAACTGCTTTCAGAAACGGGGAGGTGAACGCAATGCTTGTACAAACCTGACAAAATTTCACGCTAAACTAGTTGACAATAACCTTGATGAAATTGATCATAAGAACGAAGCACTATAGGTTCACCTCCAATGACAAACATAAAGAGCGAACCTCATTTGAGGCGGCGGCAGCAACTCCAAAGCAGCAAGGCATTAGGTGACCGATGCAAGTCTCCATGAGGCATCCGCGCAGAACACCAGCCTCAAAGGTGCGGGTTAGTTCACCATTTATGGCACTGACGGAGGCGTTCACTGTGTGGGAGTTGAAGCACTCCTCACCCGCGGTACCATGTTCCTGCGGCGGTGGATGTTTCTTGTACCGTGGACCGCGCCAAGTCAGCGTGATCGAGACCCGCGCTTCCTCTGTTGGGTGAAAGTTAAGCACTGTCCACTGGAATACTCCGACTGGAAGGCAAGTGTCTTTGTAGTTATGCGGAATTATTGGCGAGATCTAAAGACGGACACACGATCACGCTGATGAGGGAGAGTATGCAGAACCAAGGAGTACAAATGGATGTAATTCCAGTTCCAATACCTCTAGCCGATCGCAAAATAGAGGCAAATAAGCGGGTAAAATTAGGCCAAAAGTTTATTTTTAACAGAATTTACGAAAACCCTGTCACATATTTTTAATGCTGAACTGAATAAAATGCACAAATTTGAGCCGGACATTTTGAAAGTAAGTAGATGAAATGCACTAATATTTTTTTTGAAACATTATTGATGCTTAACCAAGCACACAGACATTAAGCACGATCCCGAGATCGAAAAACCACTAACATGGAAATGCTTTCCGCGCGTCAACACAGTCGCTTTCAACGTAAATTTAGTCGAGCATACGATATGCAAAGGATACGTTTCCGTTCACCACAAAGTAACGCTTGGATCCGATAAAGTTTGTTTATGGATGTAGCTATGAGAACGTAATTTGCCTATAAAGAATAATTACTCACATAAAGCGACTCACTTGCTCACAAATAAGTATTAAATCGACCTCGGGAAGTTCATAGATAGTCCAAGAGCGAGGATAGAGACCGATGTAATGGCCTCGGTCGGCAGGAAATCCCCACTCCCAAGACGACAAACTGTGGGGAATGCCAGAACCACTAGTATGTGGTGAAAGCACCTTCTGGTAAACTCGGTCCTCTCGAAACACCGAAACAATGAACTACGAGTAAAGAATAATCACAACCCAGTAATGAAGATTAGATTACTCAAACGCGTGGGTTACACTTTACCTGATCAGTAACATTAACTTTATGATTGTATATTCCTGGACGAAGGCTTGAACGACAAAATTCTCCCTTAAAACCGCGCCCTATAGTACCACAACCAATACCGCCCAGTGGCACGCCATACATAGATTCCATCCGAACAGGATTAAGGGGGTCCATGAAAGGCAGTGTTTTGGCCTTTTTATTTGGGAAGTAAATTTGATACAAGTACCTGGAAAAGGAATTGAGTTATCATTGCAGTCAAGAGGAAACTTGGTCAAAAGAGGTGGACAGTGTATAGTGAATAATAAAGCACACAGTTATTAACTTCAAAATACAAAAGGCGGAACATAAGTTTTCAAAGGTATCCGTAAGTGTTGAGAAACTATTCCCATAATTTTGGCTCGAAGATAAATAAACTCCGAAGCATGAACTAGAAGACATTGCTGGCAAATTCCATAGAGCAGAGCTACAACATCCTGCAAGCAATAACGAAAGTACAGCGAAACGTAAAAATACGTATTCAATTCAATCATCAAATACAACGCGGAGACAGCAAAATATGAGTAGAGACAGTGATGGATTTAATGCAAATTTTCAAACTAGTAGAAGCTAAAGCCTTAACAGTGCACAAATTACCATGAGAATGGACAGCAAAATCAACTCAAAGGACATCACAGCCAAATTACTGCTAGAGACAACAGCAAAAGCTGCGTCGCCCTTTACCTAAAGGCCATTGGTGTAAACTCTGCAATTGTTTTGAAGCTCGGTGGCCTCGGAGGTGATGAATGGACCTCCTTCTGATTGAATTTAGCATGCCATCCATAAGGTGAAACCAGGCCTCTATCCTTAACAAACTTTACAGCATCATCGGGAATGAAAGTCATCTGCGGCACCAGATGATCCAACCAGTCGAAAAAAGCGAAACAGCGAAGGCGTCCAAGAAAAGTAGAAAGTTTAAACACTTAATTTTCAAGGTTATTGACAGAGATTAACTACTTTTGCTTTTGCAGACACAGTATCCTAGGTGGTTGCAAATTATCCTAATATAAAGAAGAGACAAGGTGTTTCTGTAGGGTCCACTGGCATGTTCCAGATCATCGGTTCATTTCAGTTGTGAAATGATGTAAGGATAGTTAAATTACAGTTGCGAAGTACACTAGGATGGTGATGGGAATCTACCACTTTACTCACATAATACTTACATCTGACGCATTTACAATTGACTGCGATAATCAGGGGTTTCGTGCAAGGGAGAATGGATGCAATGGCACGGCAAAAAAACTGTATACTTACCGATTTCCAAGCATTTTTCAATATTTTTTAAAACAATAGCTGTAAATTTAATTATAGGGCACTAACAAAGTATACATTATCGAAATTTGAACTAATTGTTTTCGATGCACATTGTCTTTACTCGCTAAGTCCGTGTCCCCGTCAGCTATCTCTCTGCTGGTACAATGTGTTCTTTGGCGTCAAGGTTGCTAAAACTCCTTATCTTCAAAAAAGGAAATGGTTTGTGTGAAGTTGGTTGCTTACCGTCTTATAAGTTTTTCTCTTTTCTACTTCTACTGCTCCTGATCTACAAAGTCAGTTTCTCACTCCTCGGATCCATAATCTTTTGCACGATCTTGTCTCGGTGTCGCAACCGACTAAGCTACATGAATCAAGGTTCAAAGTGGATAAGGTCCATGATATTAAGCTTCTTTCAGATGCAGAGTTACAGTCGGTAATAGCAAACCTGCAAAACTAATTGTTACTCTAGGTCATGCAATATTCGGAAATGCTAACATCTCAAAAACTACAAATGCCACCGGTTATGAATGAAAGATCGCCAGATGATTATGAGAACTCCGTTATCACTAAGAATCCAGAGTTGCGTGGTATCCTCCCGGCTAACCAGAAGTTGGCTTTCGTGGACATTGGCTTAGATTCAAGTCCTCGACGTCGACTGATGCTAATCCGGGAGGCGGACGGAACACTTCGCTATGCATATTCATCGGAGCGCGATCGTTTTAATCAAATATTTTTCCCTCTACCCGGTCGGCGTCTTCGAACACCCTCCCTCTTTCGGGATGCCAATCTTGAGGTGTGTCTCGAGTATCGAAGTTTTGGTAGTTCAAGGCTTCACCATTATTAAGTCTGGTTCTTTTTTCCATAGGTGGCACTCAATAATGGGTTGCACGAATACGTTTTGGACCTCCTATTGATTCAGTTTGAGCCAGACAGTCCCGATTATATTCGTATTAGCCAGAAAGTCTATAAAGATGCGTCCACGAGAATTTGGACTCGTTATCAGACCTCCTCAGATCAGAGTGAGGACGGTAATGCGAGTGTAGTTACTAGACTCCGGTTAACAAGGCACTATGGACCTTTTGCTCTCTACGTGATTTCTCAGCTTCAGCTTCCTGCCTGTCTCATACAAGAGGCGCTCATTCACCAAGCTTTAGACACGGTCTACAAGCTGCTTATTCTCACTTCTCTTTTACACCCTGACTCAAACTTTGCTTTGAAAGCTATCAAACAGGGGATTCCACCGAGTACTCCAGATGGCGATCATTTTGTGCCAGATTCCAAAAGGATACTTGACGTTGTTCAGGTATGTGCCTTGAGCA